CGAAAAATACGGTATATTTTAAAAATGAAAATCTGAGAATTGGCAATTGTATCATGTTAATGTAAATGTAATCTGAAGAATAAGCAAGCAGATTGGAATGTCATATAATCCTGAATTTCACAACTATTTTGTAGATTAACAAATTTAAAGAAGTCTGGAATATACTTACAAGTAGTTCTCCACTTATGACTGTTTAACAGCTGTTCCATATTATGATTAAAAGGTGCTTTACAGCCCATAAAGTACTTCCGACTGTCATAAAATACCATGTATATGCACACACACACACACACAAATGCACATCCTGGGGCAGGAAAGGTTGCAAGCTGCTGCCACCTGCTATGGAGCTGAGATTTCCTCCTGGCAGGCAGCTCTGAAAGCAAAAGGGCTACTGCCAAGGGGAGAAGAATTCCACTGTCACGCTGCAAAAACAGAAGTCAAATCCTAAAGATCTGAGCTCCCATTTCGACAGCCCTTCAAAGGAGTTCTCCATGCACAGAAGGGAGAATCCTGAATAGAATAGAGATGGAAGCAACCTTGGATGCCTTCTAGTCCAGCCCCCTGCTCAAGCAGGAGAACCTATTCCAGTGATGGCAAACCTTTTAGAGACCGAGTGCCCCCAAAAAAACCCCACCCCCGTCCCTGCTCCGCCCTGCCCACTGAGCCACCCACCAATACTGCCCGCCACAGATCACCCAGGCAGCCCAGCAACGCCATGGCGGCCATGTCCTCCACCCGTGCCCCGCAGCAGCATCTGTGTGCGACGGGGCACAAGGGCAGAGTCTTGTCCCCGTTGCCCAGCTACCATGTCCTTGGTAGCACTGCTTCGCGTGGGCCGAGCCCAGGGGCGACTCTCCTCCGGAAGGGCTGCTGGTGAGGGGGCCGTGGGAGGAGGCGGGGCTGGGGAGATGGTGCGTGTGCCCACAGAGAGGGCTCCGAGTGCCACCTCTGGCACCCGTGCCATAGGTTTGCCACCACTGACCTATACCATCTCAGACAAGTGACTGTCTAGCCATGGGGTAGGCAACCTTGGCTCTTTTATGACTCGTGGACTTCAACTCCCAGAATTCCTGAGCTAGCATGGCTGGCTCAGGAATTCTGGGAGTTGAAGTCCACGAGTTATAAAAGAGCCAAGGTTGCCTACCCCTGGTCTAGCCTCTTTTTAAAAATCTCCAGTGATGGAGCGCCCATGATTTCCTCCAGTGGGCTGTAGGGACAGAGCTAGGATCTTCATGATTTGAACTGTTTCTCCACCCCACAAGAGTTTGTTTCCCCTCTGTGCATGGAAGAGAACATGTGCATGGACTGCCTACCAGAACAATTCTCTTCCATCCGTGGAGGGGAGACGAATTGTAGCAGGGGTGAAGAAATGGAGCTCAGACCCCATATACCCTAGCTGGCAGCCCACCAGAGCAATTCCCTTCTGTGCATGGATGAAAGCTGAGCTTGGCAGGCAACTCCATTTACTCCATTTAATGACCCAGGAGATCATTTAACAACTGTAATCAAGTGTGCCAGGTTTGCAATCATTCATGAAATAGTCAGGTGGGTGACTTGCTTAATAACCATTTTGCTCAACTGCGGTTCCAATCCCAATTCTGGTTATTAGTTGAGGACCATCTGTAATATGACATGAGGATTATGATAATAAAACTGAAGGTGTTTGGTGAAAAAATACTTCTGTTTGCATAAAAGCACTTATCTTGCCTCCAGGATAGGTCAAATTCTTCATTCCATTATAGTTTCTATAACCTGATTTACCCGGCTACGTTGGCTCTGTTAACCTGCAAAAAGCCTATTATTATAAAGCATAGGAACCCGAAGCAGAGAAAAGAGTGTAAGGGTGTCTAAAGTGGTTCATGCTTTTTTAGATGTTCATGTTATTGTTTTAATTTTTTGCTTTTGCTATATTTAAGCCTCTTCTCCATTCTTTTATTGTCTGCCATTTTCATCTTCTGATGCCTTTTTATTTGCCCTTACTTTGTTCTTAATTCTCTCCTTTTTTTTCTTTTTTCCTTGCTTCTCACATGGATTAGAAGAAAAATAAGAATATGAAACTGAAAATTGATGGTAAGGGTGGGTTGAAAGAATCTGATCGTATCCAGTTTCAAGAGAGCTTAGAATCTGGCAGATCATCTTCTCTTTTAGAGTATTTGGCTTCAAAAAGTTTTGAAAAGGATTCTTGCACCAAAAAAAGTAGCTATGATGCTTTTGTGCAGAAAATTAAGACTCGTAAAAAGTATTCAGGGAATAAATCTGAACAGATTTCTATTATTGCATTGAATTATGATACCCAAAAAACTGTAAAAGAAGAATTTAAAGTGACAAAAAAGAAAAATATTGACAAACTAAATTCTGGGCCAAGTCAGCAAGAAGTGCTATGCAGCCATTCTAGTAATGATCAGCTGGAAAAACGACATGAAGATTATCAGAAAAATAAAGTAAAAGCTAAACCTGATCAATATATGCAAGGTAACAACAATAGTGAAAAACAAAAAGAATATAACCACAAAGAAAGAATTACCAAAAAGATAGTAAGAATGCCATCTTCCTTAAGTCAAGAAGCGATGAATAAGTCAGCAACATATGTTTTTGAGATAAACCAGTTCAATTTTGAAAATGTGACAGCTACTGAAACAAGTATAGAAGACAGAAAAAATAAATGGGAAAGCAATCAAGTTGATTATAAAAAAAAGAGAAATTTAAATGTTAACAACATGCAAAATGAAAAGAAAAATATGGATGATACATCGGAGAAGGGTACCCAGGAACATGAAGAAAACCCAAAAAAGGAGCAATGCAATGAAGAAGATGAAGTAAGTGTGGAAGAGGCTGAAAGAGTACATGGCGCACAAGACAAAGAAAGTGACAGTGAAGAAAAATCTGAAGAACAGGAAGTTGAAAATGAAGCGGGTGAAGGCATGGTGGATTCTATGATAGACACCAAGAGTGATGAAGGAGAAAGTGAAAATGATGAATTACAATCTGAAACAGAAAGTGAGCAGAATCTGGAGGAAGAGAACTTTCAGATAAGACAAAAGAAAGATGACACAGATAATAAAGTGCAAGAGATAGAGGAAAGGGACCTATATGAGCCAGAAAAGGGAAAAAAAACTAACATCAGGAATGCCCAAATTAAGGGCAAAATGAAAAAAATGGAGATGGAAAAAGATAATGAAGAAATGGGAGGTGAGAAAGAAAACAGAAAAGAGGGAGAAGTAGAAAAGGACAACGAGGAAAATTATGAGGAATGTGAAGATGGAGAGGAAAGTGGTGATGCTATGTCGATAAAGGAGAACAGCACAAAGGAAGAGGAACCTGAAGAACAGGATCAGGAAGAAACTGAAAGAGAGGAAGAAGGAAAAGAAAAGCAAGAGGGAGAAATTGAAAGAGAAGTAGATGAAGAAAGTGTGGGATGTGAAGAAGAGAAAGAAGATGAGGAAGAGGGAGATCATGAAGCGGTAGAAAATGACCCAGAGATTTATGAAGGGGAAGAAGAACAAAGTGAGGAGGAGGAGGAGGAGGAGAAAGAAGAAGAGAAAGAGATAGCAGAGGAGGAGGAGAAAGGTGAAGAAGAGGAGAAAGAAGAAGAGGAAAAGGAGGAAGAAGAGGAAGAGGAGGAGGAAAAAGAAGAGTTGGACGAAGAGGAAGAGGAGGAGGAGTTGGAGAAAGAAGAGGAAGAGGAGGAGTTGGACAAAGAAGAGGAGGAAGAGGAGGAGACAGAAGAGGAGGAGGAAGAGAAAGAAGAGGACGAAGAGAAAGAGGAGGAGGAACTGGAGGAGGAGGAGGAGAAGGAACTGGAGGAGGAGGAGGAGAAAGAGGAGGAAGAGGAAGAAGAGGAGGAGGACGAGAAAGAAATTGTTGAGCGTAAAAAGGAAGAAAAAGTAGCCAAAAGCTCCAAAGATCAAAAACATAAAGAAAATAATGAAAGGAGAAAGCAAAATACAAACAGCAAAATAAAAAACATTAAAGAAAAAAGAACACCGAAACAAGCAGTGAATGGATTTCAGCATACATATGAGTTTTGGAACAATGTTTTACCACATTACTTGACACTAAAGTAATCCTGGAGACTAGAAATAATTTCTACATGAAGACCGTTTTTCAGCTATAGTATAATGTCTGTATACTGCATTAATATGTGTGCATGCATGTGTGTGTATATGTGTTTACATACACAAATACACATAGAGTATATATATGAAATCGATAAAACTCATCCCTTGACTCTACTCTTAAACATCTAGAATGAATTTCTTTCCATCTATATAGGATAAATCTCACCAAATCTCCTTGGTCATTAGAGCCAGAATTCTTCATAAAATATCAAATTTCCTATTTTGGAGTATAATTCCATATCATATTTACATTTTTAATTCTTAAGTTTTCTCTTAACGTATGTAATGACTTTAAATAAAAAAAAAGAGCTATGTCTACACACACACACCCCAAAAATATCCTTTTTGAAAATATTTTTGAAGAGGCTAGTAAATATAGAACAAGATTTTTGGATGAATTAACTTTATCTCATAGGTCATAAGAAGAATATTTAACATTTTCCAATTTTCCAAAATAGGATATTCCAGTTAAATCATTAAACCTGGAAATTTTATAGCTACCTCATATAAATTAACATGTCTAAAATAAACATGTAAATTATGGCCTCCTACCTCCATTTCATCATAAAATGGGAAGATGATATAGTGCAGTAGTAACAGGTTTATATAGAACCAGATCCCTTGGTGCTCTTTTTAATGTGTCCTTGCTGTATAATTCCCTCAAACATTTAACCAAGTGCATTCACAGCCACTATGCTCTAATGCAGCCTTCCCAAGTTGGTGCCTCCAAATGTTTTACATTCAGCAGTGTGAGGGACAAGACGTGCAAAGTGACAGGAGTAGCATAAATATTGCCAGTTAACCTACATAATTCACATCCAATACTAATCCAATATACTGTTGGTTGATGTGAGTTATTTTAGTAAGCTAATATATTGGAAAGCACCAAGTTGGGGAGGGTATCCTTCAGATATGGGTTATCATTTAATATTATTTAGACACACCTTTGTATGTTTGCATTCAGTAAACATAAGGGATTGGTGTTAAAAATCCTTGTAAAATAATACTGTTAAACACGGTATAATCAACATACTTGATGTGCCTTATGACAATTATGACATACTTTAACAATTGTTATTCTATGCATACATGTCTATAATGAATTTCATTTTGGTTTTACTTGAGAATTTATAAGAATATGTCTGCTAAGGATTTGACATTTGTAATGTGGAATTTAAATGTGAGTATAGAAGAAAAATAGAATGTATCTGAAAATTTCCGTTCTCAATTTCCTCCTCCACATTCAATCTCTAGTTATTCCTCAGCAGCACAATTTCAGTTCATTTTAGGTTTGTCTGATAGCAAAACAATTAAATTGGGGGGGAATACTGAATATACACATTTTAACATTGCTTTCACATTTTCAAACTGATTCATACAATAAAAATGATAATTTTATATAAAATTATAAAATACTTAAAACATATCTCATCAAAGATTGCATTAGTACCTTAAGACTGTGGCCAAAACCTCTGTGAAAGAAAACAAATAATAATGCAATCAAGAAATACCATCATTCCTCCTTATTCTGTATTTGTCAGAGTGCAACGAGAATATTCTAGGTAGAATATTTTAAGAACGACATTGATAAATTGGATACATTATAAACAGAAGGTTAACCAGGATGACAAGGCTGGAAAGAAACATTTAGGAAGAATGGTTGGAGATGTTAGATAATGTTTACCAGGGAGAAGGCTATAGGGAGATGTGACAGCTGATTTCATGTATCTGAATGGGTGTCATCTAGAAAACTTGTCACATAATGTAGGAAGAAACAATAGATTTAAATTACAAAAAAGTAAATTCTGGTTAAACATCAAGAAAAAAATCTAACAACAAACATTGTTTGGCAAAGGAATGGGGGGGGATGGACCTTCTCATTCAATTAAATTCTCATTCAATTTAAAAAATAGAGGCTGGAGAGTTATGATGTAGTAATGGAATCTTGTTCTGGGCAGTGGTTGGATGAGTTAATTTCCATAGTTCCTTCCAAACTTTACGTTCTGTGATTCTAAACAACAAAACTATACTACAGGTAGCCCTCAACTTACAACTGTTCATTTAACAATGGGTTTGAATTAAAAACAGCCTATGAAAAAGCCTGTTATGGCCTGAATTCAATCTTATGACTGCCACCCTGTGGTCACCTGATCACAGTTTGGATACTTGGCAGCCAGCTCCCATTTACAACCATTTGCAGTATCCTTGGTCATGTGATCATGATTTGCCATTGGTTAAGCTGGATTTGCACTTATGACCATGTGATTTGATTATGACCACGGTGACTTGACTTATGACTGTGGTAAAAATGATTGTAAAATTGGGTTGAGTCACATAATGACTCTACTTAAAACCGAATGACTTATGATAGAAATTCTGGTCCCTGTCCTGTTGTGATGGAAGTTGAGGACTACCTGTAGAAAAATTAACACTCTGAATTTCTTGATAAATATATGTTGGATAATCACATGCAAATTGTTCTGAAAAAATTCCAAGCAACAGGACATAATTTGTTAGCCTATTGGGCTTTTCATTGTTCAGCAAAAGCACATGGGAATAACATTAGAAATGATATGGTAGCTCTGCAGTTGTTTATATTAGTCTTGTGGAAAGAGATTGAGACCCTACTTTTCACAGATATCTTCCACTGGATAATCTGATACTACACGGGTGTCAAACGTGTTGAGATGTATCGTGACTTTTTTTTTGCATTGCCGGAGCTGGGGTGGGCATGGCCTCCATATGATGCAACCGGCCCGTGGGCCGGCAGTTTAACACCCCTGTGATACTAGAAAGAAAATGACCAGATGTAAGAAAATACAGTAGGTAGGAGGTTGGATGGTTTTCATTCCCTTGCATTGTACCTGCTATGAAATCAGAAAATACATCAAATGCACAGGCAGATTGCACAAGTATACTTTGGGCCACTATTAAAATTGGCACCTTCACTTTGCCTATACTCAATTTCAAATTGAGGCTATGTTCTAAGACATAAATGTGTCAATTTACCAATACAAATGTTATTTTATAAAATACAGCTTTGCAATTGCTATGAGTTTTGTGGCCAAATTGCTGGGTATTTTTAAGTGATTGGAAGAGGTCCAAACAAAGTAGTATATTTGTATTTCAGTCTTAGGAATATTTGATTATAAACTGAAGTTATTGTAAACAAAACAAGTTGTATCTCTGTTTTGTCTGTATTAGTACTCTAAGAAAATGTTCAGTTTACCATGTCTTAATGAATTAATTGGAAGCTTTTCCAAAATGTATGCCATTTTATGTTTATAGTTTTTCTACCTTTGTGATATAGAGCTTTTGCATAGATTGAGCACTGATGCTTTTTGCATTATAGTTGATGGTGATTATGTTATTCATTCAGTCGAGTCTGACTCTTGGCAGTTCTATGCACCAGGTCTCGCCACATCTTCCAATCTTGCATCATTTCTTTGAATTTTTGCTATGATTTGGCTGTTGTCATCTCTGGTGACATTATAGTTAAATAATTGTTTATATTAGGACACAGCCTCATTTGTTCTATGAAATGAGGAACATTGGCCACAATGATTTATTCCTCCATTTTCTCAATATTTTGTAAGAATTGCTAATAATAAAATAGCAAAGAAAGCTCTGCTCTGCATTCAAACCAGAGTCTCTTCTGCATCAAAGAAGTAATTACATCTTTAAATAATTTTTGGATTTCAGCTGATGCATAAGGCATACTATGAGCAAATAGTAGGCTCCAAGTTTTATTTTGCTTGTTAGTATAGTAAATAAAGGTGGAACTTTATTAAATTTAAGATACCATCATATTAGCATTCATGTCTATCCATAAAATAGGTCATGGTATTTAAATTACCCTTCTGTTTGTTATAATCAATATATTATCTTGCCTTTTATCATCTGGCAAAATGGAAATCTAATCAAGTAAATTGAGTAAGATTTCATACAAGCCAGGAACAGTCTGCGAGGAACAGACAACTATGCTGAGATGTTGAAAGCGTTTGAGTGAGCAGGAGAGATTTTGAGTTTATGCTTAAATTAAAGAAATGTTCTAGGGAAGATCATTACCTGCATCATTAATGGATCAACTTGAGATGTTTGCTGTGGGCAAAAATTGAGACTTCTCTCCAGTTGCTGGCATGTTGGAAGGTAACTACGTTCCTCTAATCTAACAATGTGAAGTAGCATATATTTTCCCACATCCTTCTCTTACTTTTTATGAAATAGTCTATCCTCTCCTTTTTTGAAAAAGAATCTGATTCAGTATACGGGGATTTAAAGTGTTCAATAGCAAAAAAAGGGGAAGTTGAAATAGTTGGTTAGTTTAGGTACTCATCCTTATGTAGATAATGAGCATTTTTCTAATTTTCCAGGACTGTGGAATCTGGAAATGTAATTAAAATTTGAGAAGATGATAAAAAAACTAAAAAGAGGCCTTTTTACAATTAATTGAGGAGAAAGATTTGATGCTCACTGGGAGTGGGGTGTGTGTGTGAAGATACAATGTACATTGGCTTAGAACTTTTGATTGATAATTGTTTTGTCATTCTGTAGAGCAGATAAACACAAGTTTTCTTTATATATTAGACATTGCAACTAAGCTGCACCTGTTTTGCAAATGTTAATTATCAGTTAAAACATTTCTTCATGTTAATTAATGCCATTATCTTTAGTAAAATACTGGATAAAATGACAGAATACAGTTATAACTGATTTGGGAAAACAGGTGTATTCAGAAGTAGAATCAATCTTATTGGCAAGTTTATAAAAGATTGGAAAAATGCCATGTAATAACTGCATATATCAAATACCTCTGTTTTAGTCTACTCAGTGTAAAATAAGCTGTTTAATTAATACAGCATTTAATCTCAGTGAAACACTAGTTTTAAATCAACATAATGTCAACATAAATTCAAATTTTGTTTTTGAAAATTTTCAAAATATTTTTATGCAATATGAAGAAAATGCTTATGAAAATACGCCAATCTGGATTTCCTGTATATATGAAATTGTAGTTCAAATTAAATCCATGGTATTTTCTGCTGCTCCTGCTTTGGATCTAATTTCCAGAGAACTATTATAAATACAAGTCAATTTTACTAATGCAAAGTTTGTTGGATTTTTTTTTTATAATTTAAGATTTCTCTTCATAGAGATCTTTAAAAGTATTTCAATAGGTTATTTGTTCAGACTGGCCATATTTCATACAGTATTGATAATTGAAAGTATTTACTATATTATAGTTCCCACNCCCCCCCCCCCTTGCAGGCCTTGCTTATTTTTCCACCATTAGTCACCTAGCTCTCATGGTGAAACTTCAGTGCATGAGAAGAGTGCTTTTGTTTATCAGCTGATTTATTGTAGGGCCTGAAGCTGATTAACACTGAGAAATATTGAACCCAAGATCACCCAGATGGCTTCCATGCCTATGAGAGGATTAGAACCCATGTATCCTCATTCCCAGTCCAGCATCTTAACCACTATACCATGCTGGCTGCCAAATGAGTTTAATTTATGATTTGCATAATTTAAAAATATGTATTTTTTATGTTTACTACATTTTCAGCATTTTAATGAAGTTGCAAAATGAGATACTTAGAAGTAATTTGCATTCTGGGCTAGAATTAATTTAGTTTCTTTTGAGGTCATTGGCTTCGCCAGCTTTCAGTTCAGTTGTTCAGAAGTTCACAGAATTTCTTTATAAACAAAACTGTTCTGGTCTTTAAATGTCTTTAAATCACAAAGTGTAAACTATATTATTTGATCTGCATTAAATACTATAATGCAACTATATTAATAGAAAGTTTTGTTCATTCTGATGTACACCTAATATCTGTCTTAAAAAAAATTACAGTTTCAACAGTCATCTGATGAGGAAGATAGAAGTGATAGTCATAATACCACAGAAGAACAAGAACAAAAAGAGGAACATCAGCAAAAACAATTTAATACTGCTGAGAATCCTAAAGAGGGAAAGAGCAGTAAATATTTTGAGAATGAAGAAAATAATCATATGGCTGTAGAAACCATAGAGGTAAATGCTGTGTTCATTTTTAGGAGTAAGTTTTTGGAAAATGAGATGCTATCTATCTCATTATTTGCTGTAATGTTAGTTACAGTGTAGAATTGCCAGTCTTCCCCACCATTTTTGGGGATGGGGAGAGAGAAATGAAGCTCTTATATCTTTCTAAAAAAAATTTAAATGATGAAATTCTATTTTGCAGTGTCTGACCAATGTGAAAATTTGATGTGGAGATAAAAAGCTTTGATTCATAAACTTATCAATAAAATGTCTGTCTTCATATCAAAGGATCAAAAAATATCGGATGAGGAAGCGACTTATACTAGCAACGATGATGAAAATGAAAAAGACCATAATGAAAATAAAGATTGTGAAAAAGAAGAGAAAGAACCAGGTGCAACAGAATATTATGAAGATCAATCACTTGATGAGGAGGAACAAAGCAGTCTGTTATGTGAAAATGAAGAAAAGAATCTTACAAATTCAGAAACAACAGAGGTAAATATTTTGTTCATTTTCAGTACGGAATTTCTTTGAAATTATAACAGCTTCTTTTTGGAGGAATAATATAGACCACAGTGTAAGGTATTTTTATCCTTTTACTGCCTGAGAAGATTCATTATACAAAAGTTGCAATTTGTCTTTAAACAAAATTGCTAGTACTTATCTCTAAATCTTCTCACTGTAATCATTTACTTATTTACAGACTTGACTTCCTTATAGAGTTACTGTGCAGCTTGCTTAATGTGTGAAAATTGTATCTTTGTCTGAAGGGTGAAAGAATGCTGCTTTTGTTTCTATTTACAAAGGGATAAGTAGCTAAAGTGAATGCAAAGACTATCCAAGAAGTAGTTTGTTAATTATGCCTGGCCTTAACAGATTTCTGAGTGAAAGATACAAAGATGATAATTGGCAAAATTAGCAAGTGCAATACAGCTTTAAGCCAAGTAGGGGATAGTGTGATGGATGTGTTTATGAACTCATGTATAATAAAATAATAATAATTTTACCAATTCTTGGAGATGTTTTGCTTGTTTTTTTTCTTTTAGAAAGATAAATCTATTCCAGATAGTAGCTCAGTTAAACAAGGTGAGAGACAATTTATTTTTCTCTTTTTAATTTCCATTCTTTCCTTTCTAGAAATATTTATTAGTTCTGTTCAAAGGAGATTATTTCTAGAAGTATTCATAGCTCTTTCCAGATTGATAATGGTTGTATCAGCCTCATCTTGAAGGCTTCTGCTGCTCCAATTTAATAACATAGCTTTCACATTTTTCTGATACAGTCACAGCAATTGTATTCAGATGGAAAAGTTTGACATCTACTATCGAATGATAGTTCAGGACCTTACTGGAAAGGCTATTTGTGATATTCTTCCTTTTGTTATCTGTTGCTTCTAAGCTTTTAAGCAAATATTTGGTATGCCCACTCAATATAAAACCCTTATAAAACCCCTTGGTCATAAGTATCTGATGTCCAAGTGAAAAGCAAATCAAAACTAGTAGACTTAAAATCCATATATTAAATAAAAGTTCTTGAGATTTGGATGTACAATTTGTACTTTACTAAATAACTAATTAGCTAAATAGTTCACCACTTGAAAATTGTGACTGAAGCAACTTGAACATATTTTAAAATGGTGGCTGATTTATTGTATTATTTTTAGCATGTGAGAATGCTGAGATTTATACAGAGAAAAATTCTTCACAAGCAACTACAGACAATCAAGATAGAACATCTGGAAGACTACTAGATAAGGCAAAAAGGGTAAAACTAAGATATGTTCATTTGCAACAATATCAAACAAGAAAAAATTATTCCATATTTGACATGCACATCTGGAGCCGCGTAATGATCTATGTACCCAATTTTATTTGTATATTTCATAGACAAATGAAATATATTTCATATTTTGGGTTATGATCTACTAGATTTATATTAACTTCAGTAGATTTTTGCTAATGTTCAGTATGTTAATTTGCATTTGAGCACATTGTTCTTAAATATGGTTGGCTACTCTCCTTGCTATTTTTATGAACCTGGAATCATTTCAGGTATGCAGAAATAATAACCCATTTTAGGTGTTAGCTATAGGATCTAGAATGCTCCAGATAGTCCAGCACTTCACTTCATTGACATCACTCAGTGTTAACTGCTACAGATTCTTACAGTTTAAACTGAAATGCCTGCAAAAATGAAGCCAGATGACTTCTGTGTGAGGACCCTGATAATGTAGTTGATGGAGAAGCTAATGTACATTCAAGTAGATGAATGAGATCTATAGAGGAGTACGGTGATGGCCTTGAAGAAAATAACTAGCAACAATTAATAAAACATGATTTTATCCTGAGAATACAGGAAAGCATAAGAAGGAAATTCAATATTGCCCCATCTAGACCCTCTTTAGTATAATAAGGATGCAAAGGAAAATACTCTGCTACTTTTGCAATACTATTTATGTCAGACTGCAGGGGTGGGAGAGCTGTACGTTTACGTTAGAGTGTTCTCTGATTTTTGCTTCCATTATCAGAAGCATGAAGGATAAGTTTTTTCAATAATGTTCTGATTTTCCAATAAAAACATTGAAATTGAAACATGCAGTTTCCATAATACAGTATGAAAAATGTATGCTCTGTTCATGCATGTTTGAAAAAAGTAAATGAGCAATGTGATTATATCACATATGAATTTCCAAGATACTTGGGCTTTTCACAAACTTTTACAAAGTGTTCAAGATTTCCATAGCCAAGTTATTTCCTAACTTGGGCATTTTGAATGGAAAGAAATTAAAGAATTTAACCAAATTGGAAAACAATAGGATAGGATAGTTTAACAATCAAAAGAGCTACAAAAGCTAGTTTGAAAGCAAAGTAAGCTGTGACATAATTCTGTTTATGTTAGCAAAATACTTTGCAGTCTATTTGAACGTTGTAAACAAAACATCTGTTACCAATTATAATGTGGTTGCATAACAGTTTGTTACAATAATTCATTGGAACTTTAGTCCTTTATCCTACTTCTGTTGGCTTTAGTATTTAAATGGCTAAAATCTGAAATATAGTGCAAGTTTATTTGGAAGTAAATCCTTGGAATTAAATGGAATGTTCTTTAGAACACATGATCCAAATTGCAGATATACATATATATTCTTAATTTATACTATTTCAAAAATAGTATGGATAACATCTTCAGGCTGCCTTATTTTTAACTACTTTATATAGTGTTTTTTACGTTATTCGTTTGTTTCAGGGTTGTTTATTATTATAATATGCTTTGTTTTCTTTTTGTGTTTTAGTTTTCTTTTTTTAAAAGAAGGTCTATGAAGCAGAAAAACGCACATAGCTGTGATGAAAGCAAACTGGAAAACCTACCTCAAAGTGAACAGGATACAGGAAATCAAGCCAATGTATCTGCTGAAACAAGTAAAGATGAAAACCAGAACCATACTGGGAAAAATCAAAGGGGATCACCATCAATATATCAGAACAGAAAGTCCTCCTCTACATGTATAATTCTTTAGTAATGAAAGTATAAGGCTTGTATATATGTGAGGTCTTACAAGCAGATATTGCAGTTTATACATGGAAACAATAATGGCATCTATGTAATGATTACAATATTTTTTTGTAAAATTTAGCATTTGGGGACTGATCTATATTAACTTGGACCAACCTTCCAATATTTATTTGTATTCATAATTTTACTATTGCAGCAATGGGAAATACAATCTTATTGATTTGTTGTGGCCTTAACTTTCAGTGATTTTAATAAAATATATTTTTGTACATCAGAAGTTGGAATGAGGACTATGGCTTTTTTTTCCTAAAAAGGTACAACTGTATGTGCATATTGTAATTACTCTTTTGGTTAGAAATAAGCAGAAGAATAACTAATGAAAGTGCTTATTCTTTGTAGTCTTATCTTCAGAAGGAAACGTTTGCAAACAATAAAACCTTAAGATAATTTAGCATATTCTTACTAAAATACTGGATATTAAAGTAATGTGTAAGTAATGGTTTTTATGATCCAATGAAAGTATTTTAACTCTTGCTATCCCATTAACTTGAGCTTGGACTCAGTTTTGAGCTCTGTTCCATCATGAATTACTATAAAATAACACTAGCTTGGTTTTTTTCTGTAATTTGGAAATTTAAAACAGATTACTGGTACTTGCCTTTGAAGCCAATGGTCAAAAGCTCAGGATTCCATTAGTTAGATACAATCTGTTTTGGAACTTTTTCCATTTAAATATATTGCATTGCACAGCCCTAATTTGTATAAGCTAGGCTTGCAAGAGTTTTTTCACATATGGGGGTAACTTCTCAAGATATGATTCATTTTCTGCCTGATGGCTTCATCTGTTCAAGGCATAGAGAAATTGTCGAACAAGGATTTTGTGCAAGATGAAACCAGAAATGCTGGCTTCTTCCTGTGCAGGTGCGTGTGTGTGTGTGTGTGTGTGTGTATCTTTGATAACTCTAAATACTGGAATCCCAGGTGTAGACATTTAAATCAATAAAAATAATAATGAACTCCGGGATATACAAATAGCCTTCTTTATTGCTAAGCTTTCGTCAACTAGCTGTTGACATCATCAGAGCAAGGGCTGAAGATTAAGAGAACCCGTACATACGCTTGTATGACTATTATAACTGTCAAGGTATAGAATGTATATATGGCATGCCCACAACCCGCTCGCTCGCATATGGTCACAATAGTTCTGGCTTCGATGTAAAAGCTGGCTCTGTTGCATGAGTTGGTCTTAGAGATCTCAGTGTTCTTTTACTGTGAGGCTGCTGTGTGTGCTCATGCAACAGAGCCAATCTTACAGCGACCTGGTAAGGGGGAGTTAAGGCGGGCAGGTTACTTACATGTCCCACGAGGACATCTGCTTTCTCCCATGGTAGAACCGGACTCACTACAACCACACGCGAGGGAACAAGACGACCATCCTGACTATACATCTCATGAGGAATCTAGCAATCAACGTGCGACTACGCGCAGCGCAGCGAGACTTACGCATGGATCAGCTGAGGTGGGATTTTTTAATCTCAACCAAAGACCGGCTTTTACATCGAAGCAGGAACTATTGTGACTATATGCGAGCGAGCGGGTTGTGGGCATGCCATATATACATTCTATACCTTGACCGTTATAACGGTCATATAAGTATGTACGGGTTCTCTTAATCATCAGCCCTTGCTCTGATGATGTCAACAGGTAGTTGACGAAAGCTTAGCAATAAAGAAGGCTATTTGTATATGCCGGAGTTCATTATTATTTTCATTGATTTAAATGTGTGTGTGTGTGTATGTATATGTATGTATATATATGTGTGTATGTGTGTATATATATGTATGTATGTGTGTATGTATGTATGTATGTGTATATGTGTGTGTGTGTGTGTGTGTGTGGAGTGTTTTTTTTAATGCGTCCTGTCAGCCCAAATATGGGAAGAAGAAATCCCTTTAACTCTTTGTTAGCAATCCAAAAATTTAGTGTATATGTATATATGTGTGTGTATATGTATATGTATGTGTCTGTGGAGATTCTCAGTCATCCAGGTTATAATTTTCTCAAAGGTGCTTTTTCAAATGCAACTGGGCTTTTTTTTCCTTGAGGAGGAAAACGTTTTGCTTCTCATTCCAACTTTCATCCCTTCTGGCAGGTCAGGCAGGAGGTTGGGAGCGATTGAAGTAAAATATGATCCTTTCAGCCCCGCCGCCCATCCTGCCAGAACTAATCCTTCCATCGCCCCAGCATCCTGACAGACCCGATGAAGCTTCTTGGATGAGAAGCGAAATGTCTTTTTCTTCAAGAAAAAAAACAGTCCAGTTGCCTTTTGAAAAAGCACCTTTGAGAGAACTGGATCTGGTTTTTCTCCCCTGCCTTATCTAATCGGTATCCTTTTTTTTCACAACGGCCCGTTTAGATACTCTGGAGGTTAAAAGTATGCTTGCGGTGTTGTTCCCCAGTAAAGGTGCCAGAGAGAAGCCCACTGTCACATTCTTCTTGTGAACATTCTAGATCAGGGGTAGTCAACCTTGGCTCTTTTATGACTCGTGGACTTCAACTCCCAGAATTCCTGAGCCAGCTGTGCTGGCTCAGGAATTCTGGGAGTTGAAGTCCACGAGTCATAAAAGAGCCAAGGTTGACTACCCCTGATCTAGATGGTGCTCTGTTCTTTACAGCCAAGCTCTGGAATGGGCACCTTACTAGAAAGATAATAGAGAGGGATTTAAAAATAAAACATTCTGCAGCGGTCCCAAGTCTGTCAAAGCAGATCGAGGTTGGGGTTTGCAATCTTCTGTTGTCTGCCCAGGCTGTGTACCGCGGAGGGCTGGAAGAGTTGCCGCGGGAGGAGCCCCGAGGCAGGCTGCGCTCGGGGCTGCTTTGGGTCGGGGCAGAAGGAGCTTCGGGCTTCCTACCAACTTTATGGAAGTCTCCAGCCTTTTCTAACCACTTCTCTACAGCTTCCCTTCGGGAATTCAGAAAGAGTCAGCAAGAGAAAGGAGAAAAAAGTGTTTTGGGAACTGCCTGGTGAAAGGTTTTATTAAAAACCTTTGTTTGAAATCGGGGGAAAAACGCCGACACTGGTAGAGCTAGCTGGAAGCGGGCTGCGCGTCCCCGCGGAAGGCACCTACGGCGTCCTCCTTCAGTCTCCCTTCAACTCTGTCCTGGGGTGTTGTGGGGGGGTGGTGGTGAAAAGGGAGGGTTCAGAGCGCTTCGCCGGCGGGAAGAGGACGCAGGGGAGGAGTTTCCACAGAGCGCCCCACGGCTTGCTTGGCGAAGGGCTCTGTCCCTCCCCCGCCCCGCCGCTCCCGCCTTTCACTACGGCGAGACTTGGAGCAGCGGGGACCCAACTTTTCAGCCGCCGAGGACCATGACGGGGACTTCGGTATGCTTGGCAGTTCTGCTGGCGGTGGGCTCGCACTTCAGCCTCGCCTACCAAGGTAGGAGAGTGCCTGGGGGCGGCAGGGGAGGGGAGGAGGCGCCCCTGGTCCCGCGGTCCGACGAGTTGCTCCCGAGACGGCGAAATAGCTCCCGCGCTTCGACCGCGGCCACTTCTGGAATGTGGAAGCGCGTTAGGAATGCTCCCTCTTGTGTGGCGCCTGCTCGCGGGGGGGGGGGACGTGCCCATCGTGGGGTTGTCACACTCCGCACTGGGAGCATCTGATATTTCCGGAGCGAAAGAAGGCATTGCTCGTGAAAGGCGCTTGGAAACGTTCTAAATGTCTAGAAGGCATTCGTATAAATACAAAATGCTCCTAGTCAACTATCGAGCCAAACTGGCATTTAGCGCTGGCTCTTGTCAGTGGTCAATACTACTCCGATGCCAGCCCTGGTGAACGATATGCAAACCAGGAGAGTGCAAGTGCTGGCTCTTGTTTGAGGAATGAGACATAGGTAGGTACCTTTTCTCCAACTGCTTATACAGGAACACAGTGTTAACATATTGACACTCGGGGAGAGAGAGGGAGAAAAAGAGAGAGAGAGAGAGAGAGAGAGAGAGAGAGAGAGAGAGAGAGAGAGAGAGAGATGCTCAACAGTTAATCATGATCTGTGTCTGTAATCTAATCTTAAATTTCTGCACTTAATCCTGAAAGCTGTGAGGGTGTGTATTCTCAGTGGGATATTGTTGCTGTATTATATGACTACAGTAAAGTAACATTATGTGGGAATCATGTCTTACTAGACTGGGAACTCTTTCATGATTGATATCATATTTTAAATTTCATCTCAGAAAATTTAATTTGCTATACTATCATGTCTTGTATGTCATAACAATGCATACAAGCATGTTACTGTGCATGAAGATTTGTGTGTGTGTGTGTGTCATATATTTTAATGTTCACAATTTCATTGCTTCATTCAGGATAGTTGTAGCATTTTGATTACAGTATACACGTTCAGCATAGGGTCATTTGGTTCAAACAGATATGTCTGAATAGATCACTGTACTTTAAATGGATATAAAGTAATCACTGAATGAAAGTTATTAGCGTTTCTACAATCACAATAAAATTCCTGTCAAGTCATAATCTTTGCAGAGTGGATTTAATAAAACCTTTATTCTATATAGTTGACATTAAAAGTCCAGGTCATCCCTGACTTACGACCACAATTGAGCCCAAAATTTCTGTTGCTGAGTTTTGTCCCATTTAATGACCTTTCTTGCCATAGTTGTTAAGTGAATCATTGCAGTTAAGTTAGCAACATGGTTGTTAAGTGAATCTGGCTTTCCCATTGACTTTCCTTGTCAGAAAATTGTAAAAGGTGATCACATGATCACAGGACACTGCAACTGTCATAAATATTAGTCAGTTACCAAGCATCTGAATTTTGACCATGGGGAAGCTTAACAGTCATAAGTGTGAAAAAAGGTCATAAGTCACTTTTTTCAGTGCCATTGTAAATTTGAATGATCACTAAACAAATTGTTCTAAGTCCGTGGTAGCGAACCTATGGCACTTGTGCCACAGGTGGCATGCAGAGCCCTCTCTGTGGGCACGTGCGCCATCACCCCAGTCCTAGGCCTTCAGCTGGGTTTTATAAAAACTTTTCGCTTTAGGCCTCCGCCGCCGTGTGCAAAAAAAAAAAAGGTTCAATCAATCAATTTCAACTTTTCGCGGGGAAAAAAAGATCTCACAGAGTTGGAATTGATTGATTGAACTTTTTAGTCCCACCCAGTCTGCCGTTACCACTGCAGCCACTCCCACCCAATGGGCCACGCCCACCCAATGGGCCACACCCACCCAATGGGCCACACCCACCCGGCACCCAACGATACATGAGTGGGTTTTGGGTTGCAGTTTGGGCACTCGGTCTCTAAAAGGTTCGCCATCACTGTTCTAAGTCAAGGACTACCTGTATCTACACAAAGGATTTGTTTAGTAATCGTAAAAATTGTCCTTCACTCAAACAGGTTTCAGTGTAACTTTTAAAAATGTTAAAACAACATTAAATATACAGTAGTTCCAACAAAAACTGAAAGACGAACAAGGTAAAACAGTAAAGTGCTGTGTTTCCTAAAAATGCTAAACAAACTCATTCTGTCAAGCTCTTTTAATTATGAATCTAACTGTGTCCTGGCTTCAGTGTTGATCAATCAGCATCTCATGTAGCTTGATTTTCTTCTTACTTACCAGACCTGGGATCTTTTTGCTTACCGGTAACCGGGATTTCATCAAATCCTTCTTTGTTATTGATCTGGGGACAGAAGCCTAGTGATTTATTTAGAAATCCAACTGTTGTGGAGAAGACATATCTCTCATACAATAGATATTTTGTAAAAGGATAAACACCCTGCCCCAGTTGTTATTTTTGTCTTTTTGTTTGAGTTCTTGATATAAATCAATACCTATGTAAAGTCTTTCTGTCCTTAAAAATGTTGATTTGATGGTAGATTTATTAAAGCTGCCTAATTCTGGAAGGATTCTGAATAGCTTATAATATATGCAATACAAAAGTTAAAATTAGGCTAAAACAGCATTTACATTAAAAAAGGGACAAATGGAAATCAAGGAGGATGGGAGCCAAACATATCTCCAGGGGGCTGCTGCTTCAGAAGGCAGTGGCTGTAACAGAGAAGGCATTCTTCCTTTGTCCCATTAGATGATCACATTTAATGGAGATCATTGGATGGCAGAAATAACTGGAGACAGGTAGTCTTTCAAGTAAGGGCATTTCTTAGTTCATTATTTTTAAACTTTGAATGTTGTCCTTCAAACCTTCCCTGGCAAAAATTGTACTACATTATTGGAGTGGCATAGATCAGAGGACACCAACCTTTTGGGCATCAGGGACCGGTTCCATGGAGAGAGTTTTCCGCAGACCAGAGGGTGCGTGGTTTTGTGTGCTGCCTGCATCCCGCAGATGGGGCTTTGCTTGTTTGTGCGGACCGGTTGCTGGCATGCCGCGGCCCGGTACTGGTCCATGGAATGGGGGTTGGAGACCCCTGGTATAGATGCTCCAGTAAGCAAGTTAGTAAATATGTAAGTACAAATACATATATACATAAACAATACACAATGAAAGCAGCTAGCAGAGTACGTAAAAGTCCCTGTGTAGCATATACCTTTGAAATTAATATACAGGTATATTAAAAGATCTGAGAGAATGAATTTACCTTTGCCACCCAGAAATAAGACAATAAAATCATATTGTAATAAAATGACTTTTAATACATACGTTACAGTTTTGGACTCTTACATTTGTACAAGCGTTGCTCAATGAACGAACACTGCTGCTTAGATCTGCAAAAAATCTTTGCTTAAGTACATTGTTACTGAAAGCCATAGCCTTAGCCAATTAAATAATCTTAAGCCAATTTGTTTGTGTACTTTTTATGTTTGGCTGGATTCAACTATTATCTAGCCAGGGAAGATACTGAAAACACATTTTCACTGTTTCATAATTTATGTTCCCTTCTTATCAACTCACTGAAGACAATAACATTTGGTGCTCTCAGATTCTCATATTTGCTATTCTGATAGCTAAGCTAAAAATAAATTATTAAAATAAAAACAGAACTCTATTGCAGTTGTCTGTACTTCTATACATTATCATTTACTATCCAAATCCAACAGAGGTGCAACAACAATTTCTGAATGTCATAATTCTGGAAAAGGCAAATGGAAGAGCAGGATCAAATATGTACCGTGCCTTGCCAGTATAGCAATTACACTGTCCCACAGTATAAAATCTACATAGAACTTTGCAAATATAGAACAAATTATAGAACTTAATCGACATTGATGTGGTGGCCAGACTGAAATGCCTTTGCTCACCAAAAGGTAATAGCTACTCCTCTTAGCCTGCCATGAAATACATGTGAATAAGGCCTGGTGATTCTATGTAATATGCTTAGTATAGAAATGTCTGCAGATATGCGCAGTTTTCTACCACTGTGAATTCACGAGTGGCTTCCATATGTCATTAATAACATTCATAGTGACATTCTTTTGTGTGCTTAGATCTCCTAGCCCCCAAATAGGAAGTTGGCTAGGGCTCCAGTTTTCTCTTCTCCCTTCCCTTCCTTTCCCTTTGCCACTGTATTCCCAAAGACTACAAGCACCTTAACAATTAATTATATAAAATTAAAACATAGAAAACCAGTAACATAATTCTACTTATTTCATGCCTTCTTTAAAAGAACAATATTATTTTACCTGAAGCCTTCAATTTTTTTATAGGATTATTAGACTGTTAGAATTTTTTTTTTCAAATACTCCACTTTATTACTAATTGTTTCATTTTCCTCTGTAGAAATAATACACTGCATGTACTGTGGTTTTACTAAGATAACTGGTGCACATTATAAAGCAAGGAGACTATCTGGAAGATCATTGTGAAAATGATTATGCAAACTCCTTGGAAGTTTTTGTTGTGTCTTACTCTGACGTTGTACATTGGGTTAATGAAAAGGAGTACTATTACAGCTATGTGGTCAACTATTGTATAGACAGTGGACTTGAATTCATAGCTGCATGGCCATGCTAATTTTAGAATATTCTAAGCTGTATTAAAGTCAGTTGTTGTAATGGAATGCGTGGGTGACCTTGAGGGAATGAGGAGAAGAGATGATGCCTAGGAAACAATCAGACAAGAGTGGGAGGATCCCCCAGTGGATTAATGGTCAGAGAAAGAAACTTAGAAAGGATACGCCCTAATTGTTTAAATGGTTAAAAGTGGAACGGAAGTTTGTACCTTCATAGCCAAGTTTCCTGTCTGGTCTACCCAGGACAACTGACATTATTTTGCTAAAGAACTGAAACTTGTTAAAGAAATTAATATTATAAATAAAGTAAAAGGCTTTGGGGGGGGTTTATGGGGAACTGAAGACAGCTCTGCAAAAGCAGAACTGATGACCACAGCAGAGACCAGGGAACCAACGAGTAGACCAATTACTTGGAATCTCTCCAGACAAGGAAATGACAGGAGA